TTCATGAGGCGTCCTGGACATACAGAATTTCTGGACGCGCTTTCATGTTTATGTTTAACTCCTACTTGTTAACTGAAGAATATGTGAAGGAATCTGCCGTGGTATTTGTTTAAGATAGCCCACTGGTTTTGCTGGCCACAGAATGACACAGAATGACAGTGATACTGGCTCTCCTCATATGCATAAGGTTTCAGATTTGGTTTGCTGACAAGAGGAGTTAGGCGCCATGTTTTTTTCACGCAAAAAGTCTGGCTAGGGCAGCTGCCACAAACATTTTTAACTTGAAATCAAGTCTTCCAATTGCTCCCATTCATATTTGTTGCAAACTCTTCTTGTTGAATGTCTTGATGACACGTTTACTAAAGGCTTCCCAGATCGCCCCAGCATCGCTAGCGATCAAGTCCATGACTTATGGATCGCGAGGTTTTTGAAACAAAAAACAACACCATCTTTGCGGATATTCGCCGTCCATCATTAAAGCCCACAGCCCGCAAGAATAGGGTTCGTTTAAATTCAGCACTGAAAAGCGAATTCTGTCGTCTAAAAAGGTCCTAGCTCCCTAGACTTGAATTTTATTTTGGGGGCCTTCAAAAAATAAAGTACGAGGCAGAAAATAAAGTACACCCGCGAAGGTCATGTGTTCGTGCGCAAGGCACCTAGAATGTTGTCATGTTTGAGAGAGTAAAACCATAGTGTTGATAAAATTACGTTCTGAAACAGTGAACAAGGCTCCGCATGTGTATGTGTGTGTGCGCGCTGTTTTGTTTTTTTTCCGGCAGTGTGCTCTGAGTCTTCAGGATGTACTCACAAGGCTGTAGTGCTGCGCATACTTTTCCAGTTGACGAGGCTTTCAATTGTGAACCGATTATTTTTATTTTTAACGTTCACATATGGCGCATGTTGATATCAAAGTAGAATTATATAGAAGGTGCAAAACCAAAGCCAAGGCATGACTAACGAAGCAGAACGGCTGGGATCGTGCTACTGTCGGTGTGCAGCAATGAAAAAAATGCCCATGTGTGAGTGTGAGGTTCAACACCTAACCTTTTGCAAGAGTAGAAAGTTTTGATGCTGAAACTCTTAGGGGGGCGCTTTAAACTGCAGAACCTTGAAAGCGTTTTCCGGTTGTCTATCTCATGAGGAGTCCTGAGCATACAGAGTTTCTGGACGCGCTGTCATGTTTATGTTTTAAATCCATTTTTTTAACTGAAAAAATATAGAAAGGGATCTGCGTGGTAATTGTCTGTTCAAGATACTGGCCACAGAATGAATATCTAGGTTATTCTAGGTTTCAGATTTGTTTTCCTAGAGGTTGACAAGAGGAGCTAGGCGCCATGTTTTTTTTCAAAAAAACAGCCTGGCTAGGGCAGCTACCACAAACATTTTTAACTTGAAATCAAGTCTTCCAATTGCTCCCATTCATATTTGTTGCAAACTCTTCTTGTTGAATGTCTTGATGACACGTTTACTAAAGGCTTCCCAGATCGCCCCAGCATCGCTAGCGATCAAGTCCATGACTTATGGATCGCGAGGTTTATGAAACAAAAAACAACACCATCTTTACGGATATTCGCCGTCCATCATTAAAGCCCACAGCCCGCAAGAATAGGGTTCGTTTCAAATCAGCGCCGAACAGCGAATTCTGTCGTCTAAAAGGGTCCTAGCTCCCTAGACTTGAATTTTATTTTGGGCGGCCTTCAAAAAAATAAAGTACGAGGCGGAAAATAAAGTACACCCGCGAAGCCTCTTTATGAAATTTACCATATATATGTATAAGATATGCATTATATCTATAACATGCAGATATATATATATATTATGCATATGTGACCGAAGGAAGTTTAGAAGTCAAACTTCCGACAACATGGACAGATGAAAAGCAGAGATGGGAAGAGTAAGAGAAGAGAAGAGAAGAAGAAAGAAGACCAAAAAGAGAAAGTCTCCGAAGAAAGAAGATCCAGGTGCGCGAAAAGGTAGGAAAGTCGCGAAACACTGTGTTTTTCCAACTGGCTCCGGAGGGTCGAAAAGTAGGCTCGCTAAAGCGGCGGGTGCGGAGCCATATGGTCAGATGAGAGATGAAAAAGTGCACGCCGTTGTGGCGAGAAGCACATTTCCAAGTCAAAACGTACAAAGCACCCCAGCCAGCCTCGGAGCACTTTTAGAAGTTGAGATGTCGAAAAAGTGCATGCCGTTTCGGCGCGAAGCACATTTCGAAGTCAAAATGTACAAAACACCGCAGCTCCGGAGCACTGTTAGACGTTGCGATGTCGAAAAAGTGAACGCCGTTGTGGCGCGAAGCACATGCCGAAGTCAAAATCTACAAAGCACCACATGTACGCGCCACTTTTGGACGTTGGAGCGTCGTTTTGCGTGGCAGGCGCAAGGGATCGTGCACCTTGTCAAAAGTGAGCAAAACGTGAGTTTTTTTTTTGTAGCATTTCGAAAACCCATGGCAAGCGTGGGACATTTGAAGAGGATCTGCAAAGATGCATTTTCCGTCGCGGGCGCAGTACAAGAGACATCTTCATCAGAGATGTTAGGAGGTCCGGGCGCTGATTTCCTGAGAGGGGTTGCATTTTGGAGCATCAGATCTGTAGGTTTGCTAAGATGATTTTGCGTGACAGGTGCAGCACTTCGTATGACCTGGCATCACTTTTTCCTGGCAGGGGCAGCACTTTAGACAGGTGGAGTGGAAACATCGCAAAACGCATTGGTACGAGACCGTCAGCTCTGCACTCAACTTTCCATTTTTGAAGGAAGTCTCGCAGAATTGCTTCGTTTTTGATGTTGTCAAGTTCCAAAATTGAGGACGCCTCGCAGGATTTCTCGTTGTGGATGTTGTCAAGGTCAAAAATTGAGGAAGTGTCGCAAAATAGCTGCGTTTTGAAGCTTGCAGATTGCAGCTAGACAGATAGATAAGTAAGTAAAGCGGCGGGTGCGGAGCCATATGGTCAGATGAGAGATGAAAAAGTGCACGCCGTTGTGGCGAGAAGCACATTTCCAAGTCAAAACGTACAAAGCACCCCAGCCAGCCTCGGAGCACTTTTAGAAGTTGAGATGTCGAAAAAGTGCATGCCGTTTCGGCGCGAAGCACATTTCGAAGTCAAAATGTACAAAACACCGCAGCTCCGGAGCACTGTTAGACGTTGCGATGTCGAAAAAGTGAACGCCGTTGTGGCGCGAAGCACATGCCGAAGTCAAAATCTACAAAGCACCACATGTACGCGCCACTTTTGGACGTTGGAGCGTCGTTTTGCGTGGCAGGCGCAAGGGATCGTGCACCTTGTCAAAAGTGAGCAAAACGTGAGTTTTTTTTTTGTAGCATTTCGAAAACCCATGGCAAGCGTGGGACATTTGAAGAGGATCTGCAAAGATGCATTTTCCGTCGCGGGCGCAGTACAAGAGACATCTTCATCAGAGATGTTAGGAGGTCCGGGCGCTGATTTCCTGAGAGGGGTTGCATTTTGGAGCATCAGATCTGTAGGTTTGCTAAGATGATTTTGCGTGACAGGTGCAGCACTTCGTATGACCTGGCATCACTTTTTCCTGGCAGGGGCAGCACTTTAGACAGGTGGAGTGGAAACATCGCAAAACGCATTGGTACGAGACCGTCAGCTCTGCACTCAACTTTCCATTTTTGAAGGAAGTCTCGCAGAATTGCTTCGTTTTTGATGTTGTCAAGTTCCAAAATTGAGGACGCCTCGCAGGATTTCTCGTTGTGGATGTTGTCAAGTCAAAAATTGAGGAAGTGTCGCAAAATAGCTGCGTTTTGAAGCTTGCAGATTGCAGCTAGACAGATAGATAAGTAAGTAAGTAAGTTAGTTAGATAGATAGATAGATTAGGATAGATTAGGATAGATTAGGATCGATTAGGATCGATTAGGATCGATTAGGATCGATTAGGATCGATTAGGACCGATTAGGATCGATTAGGACCGATTAGGATCGATTAGATTAGATTAGATTAGATTAGGTAGATAGATAGACAGACAGCAACAACTACAACTACATCTACACTGCACTGCTACTACAGCTACACTTGCCAATAAACTATGCTACATTACACTACACTAATTGCACTACACTAATTACACTACACTGCACTAATTGCATCTAATTACGCAACACTAAACTAATTACACTACAATTACCAGTACAACTACAGCCACAGCCACAACTACCACAGCCACAACTACAAGTACAACTACACCACATTACGCTACACTGCACTAATTACACTGCAGCACACTACAACTACAAATACAAATGCGACTACAACTACATTACATTACACAACACTACACTACACTACACTACACTAATTACATTACATTACACTACAACTACAACACCAACTACAATTGCAACTACCACTAAGTTGCACTACACGACACTGCACAGATTGCACTACACTACACTGCAGCTACAACTGCACTACCTTATGCTACACTACACTAGACTAGACTACACTACACTATACCAAACTACAGCACACAACACTGCAGTACACCACAATACACTACACTAATTACACCACACCACAACTATAACTGCAACTGCAACTACACTACGCTAATTACACAAGATTACAGCTACAACTCCAGTACACTACACCACAACTACAACTACAACTACAACTGCACTACACCACACTACATCCAGCAGTTGTGGTGAGGTGACCACTGCAAACAATGCAGCCACTCCAGAAAACATAACTCCAACCACCTTTCGGTCCATCAGTGGATTCGCTCTGCCATCCGTGATTCACAACAACCAACCCTTCCTATAGGATTCCTATTTTTGAAACTTTCGCCACCGCCTTGTGCGGTACTACTGGTAATATACATGCATATATAGTGTATGTGTATATAATATGCACATATATATATATACACACGTATGACATGCATATGTACGTAACATAACATCATATATATAATATATAATGCGCACACATACATGTATATATATATATATATATTTCAAACTTGACGCCTGAGGCTTGAACATGCTGCAGAAAGCCTGGGGCAAAGCTTGTCTCTGGATCATGTGGTGCCCGTGGTGCCCGTGGTGCCCGTGGTGCCCGTGGTGCCCGTGGTGCCCGTGGTGCCCGTGGTGCCCGTGGTTCCTGAAAGCTGTGCGCTATCTGCTGACTTCTCCACCTTGGAGGAAACGCCGGATGCCAAGTGCTTTGGCAGCCCGGCTGGTGCTGCCTGGAGTCCCATCCAGGTGGTGATCTCTCCGCAAAGCCAGGGGAAAGATGTGGTGAGATCCCCTGAAGCTGCAATGGCCAGCAAGCATCGCGATGCTCGACTTCAAATGGAAGAATTGTTGGCTTATGTTGGCGTTGTTTGGATGACCGGAGATTTTTTTGCAGTGATTTTGCATGGTTCCATGATTTTAACGAAAAAAATCCTGAGAAATGGACAAATCTTCGAGAAATCAGAAGGTGAGGCTGGAAAAACGTTTTCGATTTTTTACCGCCGTGCCAAAGGAGTGGTCTCAACGCTTCCTGCGCTCTGGCATCTATGCCGTGTTTGCCCAGTTGGTCACGTTGCTGAGTATGGTGGTTATGTGGCTGGACACTGAATTCGCAACTTGGACATAGCCAGGTGGCGTCTTGTGCCACCGAAAGTTCAGTGATTCAAGGAAATAAACAACAGGAATATTTGCAGGAAAAACATGGATGAATATGGAAATCTTGTGGAAAATCATATGTTTTGTAGCAAATTGTGGTGACTGATTTTGAATTTTGCTGAAAATAACCAATTAATGGGTCGTTGCAACAGAAACCAACTGGTTCTCTTGTCCCTACATATTTTTAAAAACTACACTTTTATTATCCTTGTGCTATTGCCTGCACAGAGTCCTCAAAAACAACCGTTTGCTTCATCGTATTGACATGGGACCAAGGAACTTATGTTGAATCCCTGGGTATATTTACTTGAGTGATGCTGAGTGCCGGGCTTCCCCTGTTGGAAATGATCGATAACTTTGATGACAAGTTGCTTCACTGCACTGCTGCCGAGGCAGCGATGCCCTTGGAGCTGGAGACCCAACCAGCGTGGCTGATCGCAGTCAGGGTGCTCAACTGGAGTCTTTGGTGAAAGCAGCCTTTTGTTTGAGCGATTTTAAACGCGTGCTTTCATGGGAGGATTTAGGTTGCTATGTAGGACTTGACAAAGTTGGATGAATGCTGCTGTATAGAAACAAATCAGGAGAGATGCGCGGCAGTATATCAGTGTCAAACCAGCAAAAAAGTTTTTGATCTCAGGATCTGCACAGCATGCTTCACAGTGGAGTTGGCATTGCGCATTAAAGCCGCGTCCACATGCAACTTGCCAAGCAGGGCAAAGTCACGAAATTCAGATCAAACACATAGATGAATGATGATTAATGATGATTAATGATGATTAATGATGAGTAATATTAATGAATATTAATGATATGTTTGAGAAATACCTTGGATATCCTTGGGTCATTTGATTGCCGTTGAGAGCAGCACAGCGGTGAATGCGGGTGTTCTTTTGATACCCCGCTACTTTTTGCTTGCCTCTGCATTCATCAATCAATTTTACTAGCTAGCCTTTATGTAACTTCGTCGTATTTGTGCACCCATGTCACTAGTGCTGCCTTCTTCGCGGCTGAGGCAAAGAAATGTGGGGTAGCAGCAGATTGTGGAATCTGTATGATGCATTAATTGTCTCACTAGCCTGGGCGGATGAGATTTACATCCTCGCAATGTCAAGTGACTTGGCTTGGCATTGGAAAGCCGGTCTTAGTGACACAGGGCAACTTCATGCCGCTCATGTTGCTTTAAATGTTTTGATAAGGTATAGACTCTGTAGGGATGTCGTGCTTGCAGTGGCTACTTACAGGTGAGTTGCAGATCTTGCGGGTCGCGCGAGTACTTCGAGTTGTGAGGTGGGAATGCGCTTGAGCGCTTGGGCACGTGTAGGTCTGGGGCAGGGCGACATGTGTTGACGCTTTTGCTCTCACTGTGATGACAGCGACTTGGCTTTCTACACTGTTCTCAGGGTAGCCATCAGTCCTTTCGAGGCTCTTTCGATTCTGCCAACACCTCGAGGGCTGGGTTTCTTGGATGGTAAGGGTGGATGCGTGATTGGGAAGCGCTGGTGTGTGCAACCCGTCAAGCACACCTCCGACCAACTTGCTACTTAAAAAGCCCCCAAAGTTCTCCCCAGACTTTCTAGGGTGATCATTTTTTGCAGAACGGTTGCAGACTGAAGGCCTTGGCCCTCATGGACTCGTTGCACGCTCTGTTGTGGTCTGTAGCAGTCATGGCTCTGGTGCTCTTCAGTGCATCCATTTGCCGCTAGCCAGTTGGCCTGCCAGGGGGTGAGGATGTGAGATGTTCGATTTGCAGGTGCACAACATTGATCCACTCTATCACAAGGGATCATAAATGTATCCATTTTACAGTTTTATTTTACAGTACTCGCTTGCCCCCCTTGCGGCTGGTGATCATATCAGATGCCCGGCTGGCCATTCTTCGCACCTTTTGCGGAGGCCTGACCTCCAACTGTGCTGATTGGGTCAAGGACCAGATTGATTCGGCCAACCCCGGCTGGACAGATTTACTGGAAAAAAGGGACCCTGTCTTGCTGTTCTTTGGCTGCACTATGTCGGCTTGGTCGTTCCCTAAATCTGTATCTGTCGGTTGTTAGTTGCAGTGAATGGCTTACTGCCAACTTTGTTCTTGGACAGGAGTTGCAGTGAAGATGAAGGCATGGGAAAAAACCCGAAAAGGTGGAACAGTTTCTTTTAAAGGGTGTGATGATGTTGATTGAAGGCATTTCCTGACCAACAAAATTCCGGTGAGTCTGCGCCAAGGAACGATCCAAAAACGGCCGAGCTCGTGATGAATATCTGGGCGCCTTGTCTTGGAAGTTGAGTCTCAGCCATCTACAATGGGATTTTGGCTTCGCTCGTCAGCTTTCAACAGCTGTTTGTTGATGCTGTATAATGCATAATCTACTACCTCTATCTATATATCTATATCTACATTTATGTCAGCATACTATGTCAATATGTATGTCAATATGTATGTCTATATCTATGTCTCTATCTATGCCTCTTTCTATGTCTCTTTCTATGTCTCTTTCTATGTCTCTTTCTATGTCTCTTTCTATGTCTCTATCTATGTCTCTATCTTTCTATGTCGTCTCTATCTATGTCTCTATCTATGTCTCTATCTATGTCTCTATCTATGTCTCTATCTATGTCTCTATCTATGTCTCTATCTATGTCTCTATCTATGTCTCTATCTATGTCTCTATCTATGTCTCTATCTATGTCTCTATCTATGTCTCTATCTGTGTCTCTATCTATGTCTCTATCTATGTCTCTATCTATGTCTCTATCTATGTCTCTATCTATGTCTCTATCTATGTCTCTACCTATGCCTGTCCATGCCTATCTATGCCTATCTATGCCTATCTATGCCTATCTATCCATCGTATCCATCGTATCTATCGTATCTATCGTATCTATCGTATCTATCCTATCTATCTAATCTATCTAATCTATCTAATCTATCTAATCTATCTAATCTATCTAATCTATCTAATCTAATTAATCTAATTAATCTAATTAATCTATCTAATCTATCTTATATCTATCTCTCCATCCATCCATCTATCCATCCATCCATCCATCCATCTATTTATCCATCCATCCATCCATCTATTTATCCACCTATCTATCTATCTATCTAGCTAGCTATCTATCTACCTATCTATCCATCTATCTATCTATCTATCTATCTATCTATCTATCTATCTATCTATCTATATCTCTCTCTCTCTCTATCTTGCATATGTGGCATTATATGATATAACAAACTTTTATTAGTTTGCCGTTTGTTTGATGTGAACAGAATGGATGTTTAATTTGGGCTTTACCCCAGGCATGGTTTGGATCACTACCTCGCTGCAGCTACACCCTGCTGCGCTGTTGGGGAAGCTGCGAGGCCGAAAGCCAGGCCTTGTTCCCTGGCCCGGTGATTCAACAAGAAATGCCATGGTGCACCGGTTGTGCTCGTTGTGCTCCAGGTAGCTGCACCTGCTTGGACTGAGGCTTCAAGTTGGATTCTTTGCTGCAGCTGCCTTCCAGCTGTACTTCCTGCAGCTTTGCAGAATTGGAGCGGCTGTGTGTCAAAGGCTTATAATCTCTTATAATCGTTTACAGGATCAACTGAAACCGAAACCGACACATTTTGACAATCTTTTGGCTTCGCCTTTTCACATTTGAAGGGTTTGAGGTTTACCCTCTTTGGCTTCAATTAACAGCCACCATGAACAGATACATGCCCCTTGAAGACCGCTCGACCATTGTTATCCAGATTGTGACGTTGTTGGAACTTGTAGCAATAGACAGCAATGAAGGCGACTGGTGGATTTCTTCTGCAACTGACGTCATGTGCTTTCGCGTTGTCAGGACCATGGTGGTGGTGGTTCTCAATGTCATGGTTGGTCTGGTTGTGGAAGCCATCCTGGACTCTTCAAGCAGAGATGACAGACGCGATATTTCCAGCTGAAACCCAGCCACTCGGCTTGGTGACGTTTGGCCGACTGTTGATGCTAAGCTGCTATGAGCTCGGTGTTTGGAGCATGTTTTCATTGGCTCGTGTCCCACTCCTTAGGAAACCTGGAAATAGTTCCGGCCTCAAAGGAGGAGGTACTACACAACATATTTCGATATGCAACCAGAAGACACACATACACACAAGGGAGAGAGATATTTGAAGGATATTAAGGCAGGGAGGGCGATATGTGCAACAGCGATACTTGAAATTTGGAGCCAGCCAATGTGGGCCTGGTGCCTTTTGCCCCGATGAATTTGCCTGACCATTCAGAGCAAATCCAACAAGCTGCACCCATGGAGAAATGCAGCAGCAACAACTGAGGCCACGCACACAGAGATTTCAATGGCCTCTGAAAGACAGGAGGCTTGGAACAGTCGCATGGTGCATGAGAAGTGTTTACCCGGAGTTTACCCGGAGTTTACCCTTCAATTTCCCCGGATGTGCAGAGAGTGAAGATTGGCAGACCTCCGGGCATCTGTTTCGAATGTTTTAGCTTTCTCCCAAAGGCTGGAGAGACATCTGTGGTTCGGCCTGACGGTTGCCACAAGCCACCGGGTTTTTGCCAAAGCGATTTTAGGTCAGAAGTTCAATAAGTTCAGTGTGTGGTCAGTGGCACAGACTAGGCACAGTAGGCGCTCCCAACATGGGAAGCAGACGGCAGCTCGGTGCTGAAGAGATGTGGGATGAGTTGTGGACACTTCTCACTGTTTGAGCCACAGGAACCCTTTTTATTAGGCACGAGGCAATAGGCTCATTCATGAGCAGGGGTCTGGGATGTGCTTGCACGATTGCTTCAAACGAAGGCCGATCAAGCACAGAGCTCTGCGAATGTCTCTGCTAGATTTTTTCTTGGCTTTGAAAGTCTGCAACTGGGAGCCATTTTATTTGCTCAAATTGTGCATATTCGAAACGATGAGATCTTCTCTGCAAGTCCACTTGGAAAAGCAGGTGAACGTATCAGGATCAGGAGGATACCACGAGGTGTTCAAGAACACACCACCTAGCAATTCAGAGAAGCATTGAGGATTTGAAATTCGGAATTCTTAGAATGAAAACACATGTATAAACAACCTATTTTGACAGCCTCAGCTTTGACTCTCGCAAGACTTGAGAGCATGGGCGTGGCGGAAAGCCTTCCTTGCGTGCGCTTGAACTTGATACTTTCGGTGGCTGCCTTGCTAGCGTTCAACCTGTGTGGCCCAGCAGGCTTCGGGGTTTCTGGAGTTTCACCAAAGATTTTCGATTTGTTTCATCATTTTCAAGACATTTCCAGGGCTTTTTCCAGATAGATTCTTTGCAGCATTTTCTACAGACCGTGGTATGCCCTTGCCTTGGAGCCTTGGAGCACCGCAGGATTTGCAGGTTCCAGCGGCCTACGACTTGGTCACCTTCGGGGCCGACAGGGCGGTCGAATGGAGGTGGCTCAGTGGGGACATGGGATAGCAATTAGGGATTTCATGAGGATATAACTGAACTGATATATGATAACTATATATAATCAGATTTATAATCATATATAAACATGGATCAATATGGATATGTAGAAACTCATAGGGATTTTAAGCAAGCATAAAAAGGATCTTTGATATCATGGGATAGATAATGGGGAAGCAACAATCCAGAATCCAGGGTATGTGGTTTGTCTCAAAACGGGGGTTATAAGTTATACGGTATACCCCAGTCATTTTAATTGGGTTAAGAAAATTTGGTACCCGCTTGGGCATGTGAGTAAATGTGAGTAAATATCTACCATCTATCGTCCCTACAAGACCCCATTCGTTGGAATCCGGGCGCTAAGGCCACCAGACAAGCTGGCGGCTGGGATGACAAAACGGTTCTCATTTTGGGCGGAGGTGCCCTGTCTCATCTCAGGAGGGTGCTGTGAGATTTGCCACAGTGCGTGCCTGGTCTGGCGACAATGTATTGAGAAAGTGGTTGGAGATCAGCCTTTTTTACCCTGACTAATTACTGCTCGTCATCTCCTGTTTTTTTTGAGAACCACTCAGATCCTGGATAAATTTCACTTGCAAGATGACGGGAGGCATATGGCAGGCACGTGTTTTTTGTTCAGTGATGTAAGTGCAGGTCAGTGAGAGAGAGAGAGAGAGAGAAGCACTCTGGCGGCGTAGACATGACTCGACATGAGCAGCAAAGGCGTCATTGGAGTCTCGATCTCATACCACCTTGCAGAGCGTGGGGTGAAAACAACCGTGGTAGACCGAGCAGGCATCGCCTCCTGTGCTCCTTTGCTGAATTTGAGCCCTTCATTTTTTTGCTTTGAGTCCACTAACTTTTGAATGTTTCCTGGAATTTTATGTGCGAATCTGCCCAAATTCAAACTTCTCAACTAGGCAAGCGGAAAGGCTGGTGGATTTCTGGCACGCAATTGGAATACTGGAACACCCACAGATGAGCTTTCTCAAAAGAGCTTTGACATGCATGAGGAGCCTCGCTGTGACAGTCTCTTTTGATTTCCCAGTGTGTCATCCGGGAAGTCTAGAGGCTCCTGGGGATGCAACTCCCGTCTTTCGAAGCTTTCACTTTGCCCGCAAGTTGCTGTCTTCTTAGTGCTGACAGGTTTCGCGTCTGCTAGAATGGTACTCGGTATCAAACGTAGTCCGTATCAAACAGACGAAACTGTAGAAAGAAGAGGCCTTGTAATATTTTGTACTGTAATGTAAGTTTACAATAGTATACAAAAGTTGCCAGTCCGAAGATTGGAGACATGCCTCGCCAGGAGGTAGCAAAGAAACTATCTCTGAGTTCTTACCGTCGATTGAAATGCCAGAGTGTGGCGGTGGACGGAACAGGCTGGGTGTTGGAATTGGAAGCATCGCCTCCAAAAAGCATGGATCACTCCTTTCAGCAGGACTTCACGACCATTCCCAAAGTTCGCTGATTTTCCAGTGCTGTCTTCTTTCTCTGAGGGACTTGCATACTTGTTTTGGAGTCCTGATATCCCATCGTCTACTGGTCTTAAGGTGCAAAGCCCGCCGGTTCGGTAGCTCAGTTGTGCT